TGTAGGACCACAACATTGTACACTATGCAATCTTCCACTCGATATCATCATGTATCTTTTTCATACATTAACCACTTTTTTGGTTGGTTGTTTAATTTATCCAGGAAAGTTAATTAGGTCCACCATGTGTCTTCTTATATGCTTTTAGACTACTAAAATTGGTAATGGTCCAATTAAGCTATGTGTTAGCACTATTACAACATATGTAATGTTCCCAATATTTTATTGTTGTCCAAAAATGTTTCAAACATTTCTCGAATATAAGGGACAGATTTGGGCATACCATGTAAATGAACAACTTCCTAAAACAAAAAACTTTGTTACATTACAAAATGCCAAAAAATTTAGATTATTAATAATGACCATGAGAGCATAAAATCTACTCCATATTGGGTTCGACAAAAATGAAGAGTTAAATACATATCCAACAATTTTATTGGATGTAATTCAAATGCCGTTCATTGTTCGTCAACCTTTTGGCTTTTAGGGAGGAGGGAGTCGTTCTCTCCCAACCCACCAAACCCACTGTCACATTCTTTCTGAACCCACAACACACGGAATCCTATCTTTTTGAACTCACTCAACTCACTCAATTAAAAAAAAATACAAAACAACTAAGGTACAAGTTTTAAAACACATGGTACAAGAGTAAATAAGAAAGAGAAAGTATAGAGAGATGATGAAGTGGGTTAGTGAAACCAATCAACCCACTCATTGAAGCGGGAGTGGTACCGCCGATAACTCAATTGCTAATTAAGATTTTACATTTGATTGTTTTGTATATTTTTTTTAATTGAGTGGGTTGAGTGAGTTCAAAAAGATAGGATTTCCATGTGTTGTGGGTTCGGAAAGATGAAAAAGAATAATAGAAAAAAAGTGATGTGACAGTGGGTTCAGTGGGTTGGGAGGGAATGACTCCCTCCCAACCTAATCAATCTTCAGCATCAATACTTGTCATTATCATGAAATCCCAATAAATTACGACTAATTTAAAATTTTAAAATGAACCGTCACTTGCCCTAATTTGCCCCTATTAAAATATCAGTCCAAATTTTACAATTAATGCATTTTGGAGCCAAAAAATAGTTTTACTTTTACCCGAGTAGCAACTTTTTCATACAAACTTTACAAATTAAACAAATCAATTTGGAGGGATAAATTTCAATTACAAGCTCCAAGGGCCATATTGTAATTTCTGAAACTCCTAATTCTTTTAAAGTTGGACAGAAGTTAATTTCATTAAAGTTCAGGGACAGAACTGAAAATCGAAAATTTTAGCTTAATCGAAATCAGAAAAAGAATGAGAGCTTTTTTTATTTACTATTTGCTTTTTATTAACCACATAAAACAGGTGGAGCATGCTTATTTGCTTTTATTTTTTAATTGATTAATGACCCCTCAATATCTGTTAATATACTTTTATGCATAGTATATTTACCTCTCGTTTCTTTAATCATATTTCATTTTATCCTGTTAACTATATTTTAGTTTTAAATATTTGTTATTTTTTACTAATTAATTATTTCTATTAAACTGCATAAATAGTCACTGTGGTTTGTTTAAAATTGTCACTTTGGTCCAAAAAGGTTTGGACTAGCACCACAGGTCCAAAGTTTTCATTTTGTTGCTAGTTTGGTCCAATTTACTTTGAACCTTTTTATAATGACGATTTTGCCCTTGTTTCTTTTTTAGTTTTTTATTTATTTAAATATTTTTCTGTTTAAAAGAAAAAAAAATTGCATTTTCTATTTTGTCTATATAATTTTTTTTATAAAGGAATAAAAATAAATAAATAAAATATGCAATCTCTCTCTCTCTCTCTCTCTCTCTGTGTGTGTGTGTGTGTGTGTGTGTGTGGCATAAGAGAACAATTCATTTTTTCTTTCATCGTAACAAAAAAATCACTCATTTGAAGAAAATAATTAATCACCATAGCATGTTCTGCATCCCACCCTTCTATGCATCGATTCATCGTTCATCATATACATGTATGCTTTGCTTTTTTGCAACCCCTATGTGTACAGGGAATCGGAGATGGAGAGATGGGGTTTTTGTGCGTCGATCGAACAAACCCAGAATCGATAGAGAAGAACGAAGATATGAAAGATCTAGGGTTTTCTGAGGAAGATAGAGAATGAGAGAGAAACGAATTTTCCTTTGAGGGTTTTCACATTTGCGTTAGGGTTTCATGACAGTGGTTGCAACACTTATGGTCAAAGGTTTCTTAGTGGGGAAGATGAAGATGATGCTAGGAACCACTCGATCTAGGCAGATACGTCAGCAATATCGGTTGCCATACGCCGGAGTCGCCGAAGACATTCTCGTGCCAGACGTCAGAGTCGCCAGAGATGGAGACATGGCGTATGAGCGGTCGGAGACGGAGACATGGCGTATCAGCGGGTTTTTTTTCTCATCTCACCCAAAACTCTCCCTAATTTGATGTATGTTGCAGGTGTGCAATGGTGAATAACAATCGAAGCTCTAATTTTGGTGATGAGAGTGTGAGTTGAAGAATATGGGAATGAGAAGTTGAACTGTTTCTTGAGGTTTTTAAGATAGACGATGAAGGTGAGGTTTTTCTGGTCGGCGGTGAAGGTGAGGTTTTTCAGATCGACAACAAAGTTTTTGGGTTTTCCGATCGATGTCTGTGAAGGTTCTTTGGGTAGGTGACGAGACTGGTGAAAGAGAGATGCTTTAGATCTGGTGATGGAGAGGGATGTTCTTGAGTGGCAGAAAAATCTACTTGGAGATGGAGGTGGAGGATGGTGGTGGTGACTAATGGTTGTCAAAATCAATGGTTATGGGGTATGTGTTTTGAAGATCGAACCCATAAGATGTTCTTCAGTTTAAGTGTTTATCAAACAACCCGAGAGAGAGAGAGAGAGAGAGAGAGAGAGATAAATAGAGATTATTGTAAGAATTTTGTTTTCTGGTGGTTATTTCAAAAAATAATTATTTTTGTTTTTTTTAATTATTGTAATATAAAAGTAATTAAAAAAAGTAAATATCAGGGGCAAATTCGTCATTATAAAAAAGTTAAAACCAAAATGGACCAAAGCCGCAACAAAATGAAAAGTTTGGACCTGTGGTGCTAGTCCAAACCTTTTTGGACCAAAGTGACAATTTTCAGCGAAACACAGGGACCATTTGTGCAGTTTTGTCTTTTTTTTTTTTTTTTTTTTGTATTTTATGTATATAAATAAAGACCCAACATAATTGTATTTATAATTTATAATTTTTGTTTGATGTGACATTTTAGATATAATGTATGTTTAAAAATGACTAATTAAATAAGGTGGTTTTTATCAAGGTTCTAAATAACGTGAGGCGTGGCTTGGCGGCAAGGTAAAAGTTAAGCCATGACAAGTCTTGGCGAGCCATGACGTTTTTCAAGGCGTGACTATTTTATATATATATTATAAGAGATAAATCATATAATTATTGATTTTTATCAAGTATATCAAGTTTTTAGAAGTGTTATATTAGTATTTAATATAAAAAGTTAACAAAAACTCAATTATTTTAGGCCCGATAAAAAAATCAAAAAAAAAAAAAAAAAATTCGCGCCTTGAAAAAAACTCGCGTCATATTGCGATAAGGCGCGACTTGACACGTTATTTGGGCGTCACGCTTAACAAACCCGCCTTGGACATTTTCGTAACGGCTACACCACGCCTCGCGCCATGGCACGCCTTGAGGTAGGGGTGAGCATTTGGACCGGTGGACCGGACCGGACCGGACCGTTTTTTTGGACTCCCGGGCCGGTACTCGGTTCTAGGAATCCATCCCGGTCCGGTCCGGTTTTTACCGGGTTTAGAACCGGTTGGACCCGATTTAAAAAAAAAATTTAATCTGTGAAAATTTTTAAACAACCATAACTCATTCGTTTTAAATCGGATTGACATGCGGTTTTTTCCAACGTTTAACTTACAGTTTGTAGATGAATTTAGACTATAATTTTGTTGATTTTGGTATAGTATTCAATGAGTTACAGTCTTTCAAAGTTGAGCTATCAAAGCTGAAAATTTTCAGCATTTCAGCAACATTTTTAAAATTTTGTAATCTGTAAAAATTTTTAAACAACCATAACTCATTCATTTTAAGTCGGATTGACATGCGGTTTTTTCCAACGTTTAATTTACAGTTTGTAGATGAATTTAGACTATAATTTTGTTGATTTTGGT